AACAAAAAGAAGAGAATTAGATAAACCAAATTGATTATCAATTTAAGAAATAGCACATCAGTTTAAATATAGAAATTAAAAATACAAAATAAAAAATAAATTAAAAATACAAAACATCAGAACATAATACACAGCCAAATTTGTCGTCGATTGTACTTATAAGCGACATTAAATTTGGTTGTCAATTATACTCCACACCCGCCCATTCAGCCCAAAAAAATTAAATCTCCCAACTAATTTAATTTGAAATATATTTGACAGCTTTGTTTTAATATAATCGACATGATTTCTATCGAATATAATTTCATTATATAAGGGCTCCAAAATTAGAACATCCCATTGTCTTCTTTTTTTCATCTTTGGTTACCTCTTCCCTTCTCCTTTTTTCTCACTAGTAGAACGTCCCATTTTTTCTTTTATCTTCTTCTCCTTTTAAATTTCCTTTTTCTTTTTTCTTTCAACTTTTATATTCTTTCACTTGTATTTTGTAAATATCTCTAGTTTTATGCTATTATTCATTTATACATATTCCATTATCTTTTTTGTTGACAATCCATCATCTTCTTTCTCTTCATCCTTCTCTTTCAATGCATTTTTTTTAATGCATCATCCAACTACTTCAATTTAGTTCAAACTAAGAATTCTTATTATTTGGCATACTAATAGTTCTTTTTTTTTTTTTTGTTGATTTTAACACCTTGATTATGAGGTAAATTTTTTAATTTATACATTTTATTTTCTTTTCTTTTAATAAAATCATAATATATACCAATAATGCATTTCTCTTTTGTTAATTTTTGCAAGATATTGATCTCAAAATAATTAAGGTTAGACTTCTCATTTTAATTTTATTTATGTTTATCTATTATTTCCTATATTATTCTTAAAATTATTTCATAAATATATTGTTGGGGGACTTGATATTATGTTGAATTTCGTTTCATTGTTTTTTTTATATAATTTAATTAACAAAAAAAATTATAAATATAATTCTAGATTTTATTGAATTTTGTATTTTGTTTTTTATTTTTTCGCAAGGTATAATCGACAGCCATTTGGCTGTCGAATATAATTGGCAAAAAAATAAAATCATATTCGACGGCAACAAGCTGTCGATTAAATACCTATAAGCGACAGCCATTGGATTGTCGATTGTACCTAGCAAAAGTAAAAAAACATTATCGTCAGCAACCTACTATTGGTTAAAATTATATAATCGACCGTCATCACCTGTCAATAATTTTTTTTTAATCTTTTCCCAAGTATAATCGACGACCATTGCCTGTCGATTACACCATAATTGACAGCCAATGGCTATCGATTATAATATTATATTTGACAAAATAAATTTCTGTCGATTATAGTAATTTTCAACCACTGTTTTTACGACATACATGATTGTCGATTATGTCTATCGATTATATCTTAAGCAACAAAAATCCTTGTACAATCAACAA